TCATCATTTAAAATTTATGGGAAAGAAACCATTTTTAGATAGTGCTTCCTCAGCCCCCCATCTCTTCCCCTCATGCTAATCTTACCTTCCTCCCCCAGAAAGAAGAGGGCTCCACTTCCAGGGGGATAGTGTTGGGATAGTCCTTTGGGACCTTTACGGTACCCCTGTCAGGTGCTCTTTCCTCTGCAGGAGGGAACGCTGCTGTTGATGAACGTTTGATGGCCATGGATACTTATTATCTAAGGTTAATGGGTTGAGTGGTCCATTTTTTGTTCTCCCTCGCCCCCTCCTCCATCCCCATCCCTCTTGAGCCAAACCTGGAGATGTGGAGGATGCTGGAAAAGCCCTTTTCCATTTGCATCCAAGATAGCTGTCCAAGCCAGCTTCACCATTAGTAAAGCTGTTATTTTGATCTGGCTGACTATGTCTATTCTGTTCGGTTAGAAACCTTAGTAAGAGGAGGATGATTAACCAAACCTCCAACATCTCGCTTTTCCATTTTACTTGCTTTTGGTTTATTACCCCTGGCTCTAGGATTGAGACACCCGAGCCCCCAGGAGTTGGTCCAAGACTCTTTTGGCGCTATGCTTACTATCCTCTCTCCCCTCCAAGATCAAGATGCTTTTATCAAGCTGGTGTGCTTCGAATCCTGATACATATTTTTTCTTCTTCAGAGGCTTTATGACTCACCTCATCAGTCTTTTTGTGAGGTCTGAATTTTAGGGTGAGCTCAGTTTTACTCAACCCAGAAACCCTGCTACTCACTCCAAGGTGATAATTGTTCTAGTGCAGTTTTTCGACTTCAGAACTATTTGACATTTTGAGCCAGATAATTCTTTGTTGGGGATGGGGCTGTCCTGTAGTTTGTTGAGCAGCATCCTCGGCCTCTCCTCACTAGATACCACTCTCTCCTCCACCCCCTAGTTGTGAAAACCAAAAATGTCTCCAGACATTGTCAAATGTCTCCTGGGGGACAAAATCACCCCTGATTAAGAACTATTGTTCTAGACGAAAATGGACAAGGTGAAGGAGCAGAGAAATGCCTTGGTCTTTCTAGCAGGGTCTTCTCAGGAGAAGCAGCATTGAGCTGAGCTTTGTAGGATAAGAGTTACCTAGTGGTCATAGAGAGGAGTTTTTAAGGTACAAACAGGAAGGACTTCATGGCCCTCTGTGATGTCTTCTTGACCAAAAACAGATTCCTACCACTCCTACACAAGCCCTCAAACATTCTAGGGATCACCTGGAGATGCCTGGCACTTTCTTGCCTCAATGCTTTTCTCATGCCATATGAGTGGATTCCATGTCCATATGTCCAGATTCTACCTTTGCTGGTTGCACTTACTGTGCTGTGCATCATCTTTGAAAAAGAATTGGATTTCCAAAGCAAATCCCTCTAGAGGTAGGTTACTTTCTCTTAAGCATTAAGTCTACACTTTGGGTCAGAAGAGGGAGTGGGTTATGCTATGAGCTACAAGTCTGAATACATTGTATCTGGCATTGTGGAGAATTTTAGGCATCACTTCAGATTATTCTATGGTGGATTGTGTCAGTTGGTGCATAATCATTCATCAGAAGAGACCTAAGTTCTACCTCACCTGGGATGTGACTCATTTGGTGACATATTGATCTAGGGGTGGAGTAGGAGGGAATCTGCAAGGATCATGGGAGTAAAAAATTGACAGCATCCTCCTCCGGGTTGGTAAACTCCAGGGTAACACTGGTGGGTGATGGGAGTCTCACAGCAGGGCTAAATGAATCACATGGAAACATCAATGAGTTTGACCATTTATTGATGCCACACAATGGCAGGCTATGATTACAGTCAGTTTTAAATACTGGTGTACCCACTGAGGTACCCCTTAAGGAGGCTGGGCCTGGCAAAGCAGCACAGAGGTGCAGGGAGGGCAATGGGTTGGGCCATGTACAACACACAACCACTTTGGAGGACAGTAATAGGTAGAATTGTGCTTTCCCAACCATTTTTTTAATGCCATAACTTAAAATAATAATACTAATAATAACAATATTTGAATTAGCAATACAAAAAATAGGAGTAGCATCAGATATGTTGGCTAAGTTGTAGCACCAGGCAGTTCATGTCATGTGGGCTCTTTCTTGGAAGTGAATCGCAGTGCACTGAGCACCAGACACACGGTCCCAGGGCTTCATCTTAAAGTCAGAAGGGAGAAGAGCTAAGACCTGCAACCTCTGGGGTAGCGATGTGTAGCTTTCAGAGTTTGGAGGATTTTAGCCAATTGATTGGAAAATTATGATCTGAAACAATATAAATCTCTCAAATTGTGTTTCAGAAACTTGATGAAGGTTACCAAAAACATTCACTAAATATCTGAAAGCATCACACTGGGATGACTCCATCAAGTGGAGACTTGGGTGTCTTAGGAGACTGGACGGAGGTGTGCTCTTGTTTAAGAAAACCCATCATAAATCAAGTCATTCCTACAAAGAGGCAATTGTTTGTATCACAAAATGATTTTCTGTCTTAGAAAAGTACTCACTATTTAGTCTCTTGAAATATTGTTTTCTCATGGTGTGTTGAATTATGTTTCAATGTTCAAGAACTAAATTAACCCACAGTTTTTCAGAGAAGAGCTAATTCTACCACTGTGAAAGCCATGTAAACCAAACTGGGTTTGAGAACCTCAATGTATTTGAGCACCAGGTCCTGGGGTGCACCTCTCTGGTTCATGGTTGATGTGTATCCAGTGTTTCTTGTTACACTTCTCACTTGATTGTTCAGGGTGGGAAGAAAGGAGGACAGGGATGAAATAAACCAACAATGCTGCTTCATGTTGGCCCTTGTGAACATCAAAGAAATGATGAAGACACCAGCTAGGTTCTTGCCTTCAGAGGCTCCCTGTTAATCTGAGGTCCCTCTCTTGTTGTAAGCACAGGCACCTGTCAAAACCCTGATGACCCAAAGCTGAGTGATTGTCAAGGCAACAACCATGTCAGATGACTCCAATAATGAAAGTGCTATCTTTATCCTGGGGTCTAGAATAACAGATACCACACAACTGTCTCACAACACAGCCTCAATACAGGAAGTGAATGCTCATGATGAATGATTAGGGGCCAATATTCCGCTTTTGAGAAACTGGAGAAAGGCCTAGAATGGAGCACCTGGCCATATCCTCCCTACATTTCTGCCATCTTTGCCATGTGGGTCATAAATAACATTTTGTGTATTGGGAAATCTGGCCTAGTTCAGTTTTTTGAGGTCAGTAGGAATCTGGGTTTGTTCCTGAGTTTTTAATACTGGTCATATCCAGGTCTCTGATGACATGCATGACTCTAAGATAGTACAGTACCAGGTTAAGTTAAATCAATCCACCTTCCTAAATTGGGATAGTCTTTGAGAATTGCCCCATTAGAAAAAATCAAGTTCTCCTCTACTCATGTCACTAACAATTTAAGCATCTTCTCTCTAAAACTGTTATTTCCAGCGATTGTCATCGGCCAGAAATGCTTATATTTAAAGACAGGGAATACAAGGATATAATTAGTATCTAGACATAAATTCCCTGGCTTTAGGTAAACATTTCTACTCTCCTCCTGTTTCTGGTCTGTCTTGAATTTCATCCCAACCCATTGTTTTATTTTCCACAGGAATTTATCAGAATAATACACATTAATGGCTGAAAAAAATGAAAAGCACATAATATAAAAATTTTAAGCTTCTGGTATCCAAGCAATAGAACTGGCATTGACCAGCAACACCATTACACATTTAACAGAAGATGTATATGGACTTGCCCACTTGTACATCTATCTGTATATTTATATTAGTTCTGCCACCATCTAGATATTAGCACCATTTTTCAATAGCACCATTCTGCTGAACGGATAGATAATCAAAGGGAGATATGGGACATTGTGCTCCATGTTAAATATTAACTGTACCTGTGCATGAATCTGAAAATATGCTGCCCATTACATGAAGGCCACATCCCTGCCTTCCCCTCTGTCAAGAGCTGGTTCTGAGAGCTTCCTCCCCTTGAGGCTCCACCCATCCATCCACCCTCACTATCTGGTTCAGTTCACGTAAAGGACTGAACTCAAATTCAAGTTCAGTCATTGAATTTGAGACCACAGCCTACTTCTTTCTCCTGATGGGTGGTGGGAACATCCAGAATAAGCATTCTAACTTTCATTTCACTTTTTTTGGACTCCCCAGACTCGTCTGTTCCCCCCAAGGAAACAGACCCTCAAAAGTAACTATTGGGTGTACTGGGAGTGGCTATCTTTACCTCACTTTTGAGAAGTTTTTTCTCAAGACTAGAAGTTTGTACTAAATTTTTGTACTTAATACAATTTACCTGGGTCTTTGAAATATCTTAATCTAGAGCTCCATTTTCCAACCTGGGGGTAGGTGGGGGCGGGTTGCAGTCACGGACCTGGCTATAACAGTTGGGGAATATGCTGGAGGGGAAAAGTCAGACAGGAAGACTCTCTTGTTCTTCTGCAAAGGAATAGGTATTTGCCAGGAGAGTGGGAAGAATAAAGGCCCACATTCCTTTTCTTATACTAGCAAAAATTGATTTGTGTTTATTTGGTTTTTAAGAGTTTTCATAGAAATTATTCTTAAGTCAGAAATATCTTCCATATAACTAACCTAAATCCCTTAGGTTTACTACATGCTACAGTTTTTGCCTGTTTCCTCTTATTCTAGTGTCTCCAGGTAGGCATGGAGTCTAAGCAGCCCAGATATGGAATCTATAGGGATTAGGGATCGACTGAGGGGATATAGCCAGCACTTTCTCTTCCTGCCCCAGTTGAACACTACTGGGTGGAGAAAGCGGTCCTCTGCCTGGATGAATTAAAGGAATGTTCCTAAAAGCTCTCCTATGACTTTTTAAACAGCAGCTGCTCTGGGAGAAAAACAAGGGATGATTTCACCAAGGTAAATTAGCAAGGTTATTTGTTCCCTGATAAGTGTGGCTCTCTTTCCTGATACTGTTGAGGTAGTCTGGGAAAAAAATCTGATCTCTTTGTTTTTTATTTTTAAGGGTGAAAAAAAGACATCATTTCACAGGCTTGCCTTCACCTCGCCCAGGAGCTGATCCCAGGAGATGCCTGATTCTCCTGGATAGCTAACCTGCCTATCAGGGAGCAGCAAGTATTACAGTCCTATGCCTCCTGTGAGGGACATTTTGTGGCTAAAGGAACACAGTGAATTTTGTTTTGTTATGAGCTAAAGTTTAACCTGAAAAACTTCAATGAAGAGGTCCCTGGAGCTAGAACATGTCACGGTCAGCAGGCTGCTGCAGTCTATGGTGGAGGGTGGCTTCCTTCTGGACTTAGAACGCTTTGGGGTTTTTGAACAGCTGTGGCTTTCTTGGTCTTCGGGTGCGAATGACGTGTGTCTGGGAACATGAGAAGCAGCACTGAGCCCTCACAGTGGGCACAGAACATTTCTTCATGGTCTTTAGTGTTTGGCAGAAACTAGTTGATAACTTGTTCTTGGTGCAAAGTAAATCTGTGAGAGGAGAAAAATATAAGAAAAAATCCAAAGATTATCCTTTGTAAGTGACCGAGCACAACTTTTATTAATGGAAGACATTACACGTCTAACAAAAAAGGCTCCGTAACAATTCATAATAATAGTTGACATCCACTGAACATTGATTACATGTCAGACACTGTGCCAAGTGTTTGTGTTAAAGTGAATTATCAGTCACAATTCTTCACTCCTGTGTAGCAGTGTTACATACATTCCCACCCTTGCCATGGCTGCCTGGTGGTGGTGAATACTTACCCCCTCCTTGACTTTGGATTCAGCCCTATGACTTGCTTTGGACAATGGGATGTTAATAGACATGATCCCTGCAGGGCCTTGGAATGTGCAGGAGGATGAGCCTGCCCTGATGAGCTTCTGCTGTCACCATAAGAAGAACCTGGCTTGTGCAGCCACTGGACCAAGGAGGATGAAAGACACACGGAGCAGACCTAGACCCGACCTACAGCTTGCAGCCAAGGCCAACCAAGGCCAACCAAGGCCAAGCTAGATCAGCTGAACCTTAGCTGACCGGTAGATGCTGAGCAAGAAATACATGATTGTAGTTTTAAAGCCTTGAATTTAGAGGTGTTTTGCTATGCAGTATTGTCGTGCAATAGTTGAATGCAATGTTTTACAAGCATCGCTTCATTTAATCTTCACAATAGTACTATCAGGTAAATATTATTTCTTTCCATTTTACAACCGTTCTTTCCATTTTACAAATGAGGACTGTAAAGCCCATAGAAGTTAAGAACTTGCGCAATATTATGTAGCTGATAAGTGGCACAACCAGATCCAAACACAGGCAGTTTTGACTCTAGACCTCAGGCTTTTATCAATCATACCACTAAGAGGACCAAGCAATGACCCAGTCAGGCAACTCACCAATGCTTCCTGAGCACAGCTCAACAGAGCAAAAGATACAGATATGTAAAATGTGGTCACTGCCCTCCAGAAAGGTTCCACGTAGATGAAGTCATAAGACATACACAAAGAACTCCCACAATAAGTATACAATTAGTTACCTGGGTTTGAATCCTTGTTCTATTCTAACTAGCCCTGGGCAAATAAGTCCTCCAATTTTCTTCGTCCTGCTTTCCTGGTACATGAAGCAGAGAGTTAGACTAGACTTCTCAGGGACTGTCAACACACACATCCTATGGGTGGTACTCAGACTGCACTGGCCCACATATTCCTGGTCTGGAAAGAATTCAGTAAGACCCAAATAGCAGATTTTTCTTCTATAAAGTGAAATTGTTTCAAACTTTGCTTGAGTGCCTCTCAGAGCTCTGGCTGCCTTTCTTTCTTCTTTACAGAAAATATTTGAATAGTCTTGAAGAAAAGCTTTTTCATAAATAGGCTGCTGTCCTTTGTAAATGGAACTGTCAGTAAAAGTATAAATTGAAGTAATATCCTCTTTACCCAAAACCTGTGACAGTATTTTTGCTTCTCTATGCTTTTTTTTCACCTTCAGATCACAAAGGCAAAAAATGCTTTTTATCTCCCCAGAACTCATCATTCCCTTGACTGTGCCTTGTTTTTTGGGGAAGAAATAAACATCTTGTTACCTGTCAGAATTCCATTTTGTTTGGGGATTTTAAGTGCACTTGGGAATAGGTTACATATCATGTTCCTAGAACCCAAAACCTCTTCATTGCTGATCCTTTTCTTCTACAGGCCTCTTCTTTAAGCCTATTATAAAAAGCAATCTCTCCTAAAATACCACAGGAAACTTCCTTACGTGCTCTGACATTTCAGAAAGAGTCCATGTTTCAGCCAAGTATTACTACTATGAAATAGGAATTTGAGCTCTTCCTCTCCCACATCCCCACCAGAGCAGCAGCATTCTCCATGGGGCCTGGGCCATGTTCATGTGGGCTGCTGTTCAGAGCAAGGCAAGGATTCCTTCCTAGGCTTCTGGCTTTGGAACAGGGCCCCGCCTGGAAGCCTGGGTGTCACAGGACTGCTGCAATTTCTTAGTCAGCCTCTTCTGAAGCTTTGTGGATGGTGGACGGAGAAGGTGCCTCTGGGGTAGCTCTTTGCCCCACATTCTTCCTGCCATGAGTAAGTGAGTGCTCTGGGGCCACTTTAAGAAAGGAAGAAGACAGAGGAAGCGTGAAAGCTCAGTTTGCATCCCATCTCTCCACAAAGCTTCTTTTGGCCACGCTGGCTCACATGGATCCCTTCTGTCTCAATCTCCAAACTTGTGTTATTATTGTAACATTTGCTCAAACATGGCATTACGTTCTATCTTGAACTGTTCTGTAAATGGCGTGTGAGACTTTTCTGCTAAGGGCTAAAGTGTAATCTCTCTCAAGGGTGTCCACCATTATAAAAAGGGCCTCCTGGAGGCCCCCAAAGTCTTTAACCTGGTTGTGGGTTGAATTTTGTTCTCCAAAGTTTAAGTGTCCCCCAAAGTTGAAGTCCTAACCACTGGTATCTGTGAATGTGACCTTATTTGTAAATCTTTCTTTGCAGATGTAATTACGATGTAAATTAAGACGAGGTCATACTGGAATAGGGTGGGCCCTTAATTCAACATGACTTATAAGAAGAGGAGAAGAGACAGACACACGCAGGGAAGAAAAAGCCATATGAAGACACAGACACACAGAGGGAAGATGGCCATGTGATGATGGAGGCAGAGATGGGAGTTATGCAGCTACAAGCCAAGAAGAGCCAAGGATTGCTGGCAACCACCAGAAGCTGAGAGAGCATGGCCCTGTCAAGACCTTGACTTTAGACTTCTAGTCTCCAGAACTGTGAGAGAATAAATTTCTGTTGTTTTAAGCCACCTAGCTTCTGGTAGTTTGTTATGGTAGCCCTAGGAAAGTAATGCACTCCTTCTCCCATGACATTAATAATAACACAGATACAACTTATTAAGCACTTACCACATGCTAGGCAATGGGTGTGACATATACTACCTTTTTTGATCCTTACGGAAATTTACTTGTAGATATAACTGTTCTTCTCCTTTTAAGAACTGAGTTTCAGAGAGGCTTAGTAACTGGCCCAACAGCACATAGCTGGTATGTAGATGGTGACACTGGAATTTGAATGTTGCCTCAGTGCCTCTAAAACTCTGCCACCAAGAGAAGGAATCTCTTATACTGGTCTTGGGGGAGGAGGGGATCACAGGAACAGGTCTTCCCTAACCAGAACATCCTCATTTGCTCAACACAGGACCCCCACTTGTCAGGTTAGGTCAACACCTACATGACTGAAAGAGGCTCAACCAAGCCTGGTGTCTTTGCCTGATCTTGGGAACCATGAGATCATGAGCCCTTCTTTTCAATGGTCCTCAGAGCCCTGGGAACATGCCACGTCCTGGGGTCCTCCTGCTTGAGAGTGGGGGACTTGAAGGAAGAGTGGAAGACAGTGGTGGCCTATATTAGGAGCCTATGTTCCAGGCCTGTATTTAGCAGCTCATTTAGACAATGACTATGAGCCCAACATCGTGGCATGGCTTTACTGCACCAGTTCTCCTTATTACTGTAAAACAATGAAGGCTTGTTGTGTTCATCAGCTAACTGGATCCCAGCCAAAGCACACACAATGCTTATAATTAGGGGCAACTTGGAGAGGAGATGCCAATTTGCCTCTGCCTGTTCAATAGAAACCATACTTGGAAATTTAAAGGGACAGTTTAAGCTTGTTTCTTTGCTGTTGGCTGTGTCTAGGTTGAACGGATAATATTTTGCCCACAAAAGAAAGTTTAAAAACAATTTCAATACTGTTGACAAATACTGTTTCTATAGGACTTTGGGTCCTTAAGGCCAAGAACTGTGTTGTACTCATTTCTATGTCCTCCATTTTTAGCACTTGCCCGCAATATATCTTGTGATCAATAATATTTGCTGAATAAATGAATGAATGAAATCCTATTCATCTGGAAGAATATCCTTCAGTAGAAAGCGTGCTGACGCAAATGTTCATTTGTGTCAACTTTGGGTCTACGTACTGTCCTAAGGAAAGTACTATTATTTTCCGTATTCTTTTTATTTGCCTTCTGTACTTCTCATCCCCAAATTAAAATAACAACAACAACAAGAACAAAACAAGCCAAGAATGGTGTGCATAAGAGTTTTGTTTTTGTCTTTTAATCATTATGAATGTAATGCCTAGAATATAGCTGATACTCAGTAAATATTTCTGGATGAACTTTTTTTTGATGTTTTTATTTTTTTAACCCAGATACTTGAAAAGGGTTTTATAGTCCCTACTATGGAAATGATAGTTCTGATTTAGATTTTAAGTCATTAACAATTTAGATGGCCCCTAAAAGAAGTAAAATGGCTGAGAGAAAAGCAAACCTTACATGAATTCATACCCAACCTTACAAGATGAAATGGGGGTATGTTTATTGTGCTGGCTGGCTGGCTGACAAGAATCTGGGCATTGAATGACTTATTTTCAAAGCATTTTAGAGGGCACAGTGGTCAGGGTAGGTGGTTGGCTCTTTAAACCAAGGAATTTCTTGCAGCTGCTCTTTCATGTTGTTTCTATACGAGTAAGCATGGCTCTGCCTTCAAGAGAAGCTAGTAATTAACTTTCCCTGCCCTGATAATTGTTGGTGAGTGGAATTCATTGTTATTTACATCCATTGCCAGCCAACTATTAGTTACCATCTCTTCAGTGTGAGATTTCAAGACAAAAAAATACGAGGTAAGTGTTTAACCCAGTTTTCATTATTAAAGATTGCATTGTCCAGCAATAAGATAGTTAAAGACAATCTACGTATAATTTAAAAATAACAACCCGTAACACTAGGTATGGTCAACCAAGACAAAGTTGCTGCTTCAATTATGTAAAAATCAACAAAACATAGAAAGATTCTATAGCCTCAACATTTTAAAAACGTGGTACCATAGAAGGTGATGAGATGAGATGAAAGGAAGAGGGTCTCAAATTGGCCCCTTGATCTAGAAGAGGCTGCTTCTCAAACTTTAACGTGCATCCAAATCACCTGGGGATCTTGTTTAAATGCAGATTTTGATTCAGAAGGTCTGGGGTGAGGCCTGAGATCCTCCCAGGTGACGCCAGTGCAGCTACTCCAGGGATCACACTTTGAGTAGCAAAAGTCTGGAAGACTAAAAATTAATAACACTTCTGAAAATGAGCTTTAGGTAGCTTCTTTTGGAGTTTCTTGTAAGGTCAATAATAGCCATCCTCAAATGCAAGTTGGTCAGAAAAGAAAGAAGTTCATGTCGAAAGCATTTTCCCCCTCAATGCATTGCGTTCAGGATTTCCAACCGAGATCTCTCTCCTGGCCTCCACACCGTGTAGAAAATCCATCACCAGACACTCCTATCTAAATGATCCATAGGCTCCTCAATAAACATGTCCCAAACAGAACTCATTACCTTTTTGCATTCCCAAACCCCCGCTGGGGCTTCCTCTCTCAGTGAATGGCAGCCTCATCTACTTAGTTGCCCAAGTCAGAAATCTGGGCTTTATTCTCCCTCTTCTTTCCCCAGCCACAAAGTCCTGTCAAGTCTCTTTTTGAGGAGCTCTTGAATCCATTTACTTCTCTCTACCTGCACTTCTACTGCCTTAATTCATGCCATATACATCTCTTGCTTGGGGTAGAGTCACAGTCTCCTAACTGGTCTTCCTTCTCTATCTTCCACATTGCAGCCAGCGTGACTTTCTTATTTTCACTCCCTTGTTTGGAATACTCAAATGGCTCCTTTCTGCCCTAGGGATAAAGTCCAAATTCATCAGCATACTTCCCAAGGCTCTTTATCCTCTAGCTCCAACTTACTTCTCCAGCCCTACTGTTTCCTAACTCCCCTTGAACTTTGTACTTGAGTTACACTTATGTGCCATGACGTTAAATTCTTCCTGGTTATTGCAGAAACTGAAAGCTTTTCCTGGAACTCTCGTCTGACCTCTACTCATCCTTCACTTCCTCTGGAGGCCTTCCCTGCTCTCCTCAGTTTAAGTTCAGTGCCGTTCCCAAGTACTCTCACAACATCCTTACCTCCCTTACTAGTGTCTGTCACTGGTTTGTAGTTCTGTTCCTTGTTTGACATTATGTTCAGCACAAAGTAAGCGCCCTACAAATATTTGTTAAATAAATGCATGATGTATAAATAAACAACCCCTAGGGAAAATCTTCTCAGGATATTAACTCTAATGGCGGTCTCTTTTGAATGCCAGCCCTCAGTACTTGGAAGGAGGTGAGGAGCAGATTCACAGACCACAGGTTTCACTATCTCTCATCTTTAAGAATCTTTTGAAAAAGAACTACCACTGTGTACAAAAAACATGCTGCTTTTTCAAGAGCAAAATGACCCTTAGTTGATGTCTCATAGTCAATTCTTTAATTAGGGACAGACTAAATTCATCCTGACCCTCTAAATCCCAATTTCTGGACTACAAGAGGCATTCTCCACTTTGTAATTGATGTAAGTAAATTATCAAAAAATCCTCTCTCCCTGTCTGAAAACTTTCTCTCTAGGTTTTTAATTTAGAAATCTCAATCCTCATATCAACGAAGCCCAAAATATCAATGAAAGAGACATTAGAGTTCATGGTTGAACCCACTCATTTATGGATAAGAAAACTGCAGTCTATTGAGATGAAGTAACTTGCCCAAGGGAGGTAACTCAGCTGGTTTGTGATGGATTTTTTTTCTTTTTAGGTACACTAAATACATGCTATTTAAAATCTTCACAACAACTCCATAAGGCTTGTGAAGTTATTCCCTTTATACCCGAAAGAAAACTGAGGCTCAGAGAGTTAAATAACTTGCCAAGGTCACATAGATAGCAAATGGCTACTATGGGATGCAAACCAATTGCTGTCTGATTCCAAAGCTGGATTCTTTCCACTTCTGATGAAGGGAGGCACGTGAAGAAAGAGGAGAACACCCCACCATGTAATCACAAACATGCCACTTAACCTCTCCAGGCTGCAGTCTAACAGGCTTCAAATAACTAAGGTGACCATAATATATCATTCATATTTGGGATGCTTTTTGAAAGTGAAAGTTGAATGTAACGGACAACAGTGATGTTCCACCATTCAAATCTCCCTCCTTGGATTTTTGTCCATTTTCATGCATCATCCCCACCCACCCAAGTCCCAGCATCCCTATTCTTTAGCCTCTAGTACCTAGAGACCCTGGCTCTTTCACAGGACTGCCCACAGCCTACTGGAGCTGCTTTGTCTCTCCATGTAGGGGGCCTTAACACCTACAAATTCACTACAAATTCACCCTGGGGTAGCCATTGGCCAATGGCTGAAGAGTGTGGGAGTGTGAAAGTCCAGCTCACCAGCCTCAAGGGCAAACAACTCTGAGACAAAACTTACATCCTGGAGCTCCCCTCTGGGACCAGGCTGAAGCTAGGACTGTGCCTGAGAGGGCAGCCTGGCCGTGCTGCCTCCCTTTTCTGTCTTGCTTCCCCCATTCCTTTAATGGTCTTCCCCAGGAACATTTCCTTAATGAATCCTGTGCACACAAATTTGCACCTCAGAGTCTGTTTCTGTGGAAACTGACCTGAGACAGCAGTGCTAGATGGATAAAGAGGGCCATTCAGTACCTGATTGGGTTCCTGAGGAAGGCTGGAGCATCTCTCAGAAATCTTTGAAAAAATAGAAGAGATTCTCATCTGTGTGGGATGACGTCAGTGTGAATGCACTTTGAGATGGGAAAATCGATGCGATAACCCCTCAAGGAATTAGAGTCAAACCTCACCAAACCAGACAGCTTGCTCCCAGGGGAGCTGGTTGGCCTCTTCAGCATTAAGATTCCCAGCTCAGTAAAGGGGACTAAAACTGTCCACAAATCGAGTCATGCGGGACAACTTATTTATAAAAAGCTCTCTCCCCCTGAGCAAAGACATTCACCCACCATCACTTTTCCTGCAGGCCTGCTGGTTGCATTTTTGGAATTCCGGAGGTCTAGGTTCATGATCACACAGGCATTGGTCTTGGTCTTCAGTTTGATTGTCCTCTGAGGAGACACAGTGGACAGTCCTCTTCTGAAAGCCACCTCCACAGGAAGCGGTGCACTGGAAGAGAGGGTACATGGAGAGTCAGATTTCTTCCCCAGGATGTTCCAGCAGAACACCTCTAACCCCACTGTGGTCAAGTAGAGGCAAGTCTCAACTATCAGAAGTCTTTTTGAAGGAGCCATAGACTAAAAGTCCTAATAATTTGGAGATGTGAATTTAGGAAGTGTCCACATTATAGATTGTGTGGATTGAATTCGGCTTAATTTACTATTGCCTTCTCTGAAGAACGTGGATAGAGGCTGAACTGCAAGCAAAATAGAAAAAAATTTCATCTCTGGGCCTTGGTGCCACAGCAATCTGGTTTCTCTGAACTGGTTTTGATTGGGGCTAGGAATCAGAGGTGAGGAAAGGGGAGACAGCTAAAGGGAAGCTGAGAGTAGGATAAAAAGAGAAGTGGGAGGGGAAAGCCAAGGTGGAATGGAGAGAGAACTTGGAATGGACCTAGCTGGACCATGTGTGGTCTCAAGCCATTCTAACAGATAAGATTCCGCCATAATGTCAGGATGCGGCCACCTGGAAGAAGAAGGGAGATTCTCTGGCCTGGGAAAACAACTTATATAAGATGATTCCTGGGGATGTAAGAAAATGTGCCTGAATTTACCATGTAAACTCACTTAAAAAAATCCTTTTTATTGTGGTAAAATATATAAAGATAAAATTTACTATCTTAACCATTTGTTAGTATACAGTTCAGTGCCTTAAGCACATTCACATTGTTGTACAATCATTACCACTATCTGTCTCTGAAACTTTTTTCATCTTCCCAAACTGAAACTCAGTACCCATTAAACAAGAACTCTTCATCTCTCACCCCACCTCTCCAGCCCCTGGCAACCACCATTCTATTTTCTGTCTATGAATTTGACTATGGTAGGTACCTCATATTAATGGGATCATACAGTGTTTGTCCTTTTGTGAGTTGCTTATTTCAATTAGCATAAGTCTTCAAGTTTCCTCCATGTTATAGCATGTGCCAGAATTTCCTTTTTAAGGTGGAATAATATTCCATTGTACGTATATACCACATTTTGTTTATCCATTCATCCACTGATGGACACTTGGGTTGCTTCTACCTCTTGGCTGTTGCGAACCACACGTACTCTTACGATTTACATTCTATTTCACATTTTTTTACTTTTAGCCTCATCTTTCTTATATAATCAAAATCTCCTAGAAGGCAAAAACCAGTTCCTCTTTCTTCATTCTACTTGGCAATTAGACTAGTGCTAAACATAGCCTGACATTCAACAAATGCTCATGGATCAATTAGCCGAAAAAGACTGCTGCATGGCAAATTCTGGAAAAATCACGAGGACCAAAACATTTCATTTTCCATTTGAAATATTATTGGTCACTCAGCTCACTAGATAAAAAAATACTCACACTGGGACACCACTGATCAACTCAGAATACTGCTGCCAAACCCTGTTTCCTACGAAACTCCCATATGGGATAGGAGGAAAAACATCAAATTTTTCTTAACATCCACTGCTTTATTTTATTCTACACTTCATAAAGCCTAGAGCATGGTCATCACCATGGAACTTCATGTTTGTTTTATAAAGTCAGAGATTTCTGTGATTAAACCTGAAGGTAATTTTATTCAGGGAATTCACCTCAAATTCTCCATGGATATGGACAAGGGAAAAAAGAGTAAGAAATACTACTCAATTGATCCTGAGTAAATAAAAGTGTGCAACAGAGGAAAGAACAAGGGAAATTAATCAAGCCAGAACATGATAAAGAGTACTGGACCAGGATTCAGGAGGATCCTCAGGCTTTTTCACTCACTGCACATGGTCCTGGATCATTCACTTGACCTCTCTCTTTCCTCTTCTGTAAAATAATGTTGTTAGATAAAGAACAAATGACTTCTTTTCCTGCTTTCTGCTTCTAACAGTCTGATAGAACAAGGCTGGGTTGGTCCTGGGTGCTGAAGTCATGCAGGCCCTCTCAGGCAGGGCAAATCAAGACGGAAGAGCTAATTCCAAGCCAAGCACAAAAATAAGCAGAAAGGTCATTGTCCATGCATTTACTAGCCAATTAAAATGACTTGTGATTAAGAAGATGCATGAATTTGTGACGTATTTAATGGAAGATCAAGCAGGAAGCATGTTGCTGATTCGGGTTTTGTTAATAGCGGTAATGCTGTGAATCTGGGGTTTTAGAGAGAAGGCAATACCTCTCTTACTGCCCAGTTCTACTTCTTTGGATCCAGTAAAAATAAGGGATCTTTGTGCAGAACTGAGCGCCCAACATAGGGATGGGGCTAAGCTGGGGCTTAGTTCCCAGCTAAGGCTACTGAGTAACTGAATTACCACTGCCTACATCGAACTCTTGCACTAGCCTCATTCAGTCCTGGATGCTCTGTCCAGTAAAAGTGCAAGGCTCCTCATCGGCTTAAACTAGTCTGTTTGGAAAAGTTGATTCTCAGGGTTCAGCAGATGATCAGCAAAGACTGTGTGAGAAGCTATAAAACAGATACATGCAGACTGGATTCTATTATTACTACCACTCAACCAACAGAGATCAAATGTAGAAACCATTTGATGTTTTATAACTAATGCAAACATCTTCATTGAATAATTTTCTTGCACTTACTATTAACATACGGCAGGCACTGTTCTAAGAGCACAGAAAATATCCTTGAGTTCAATCCTCATAACAACCATGTAAAATAAGATTTGTTTTCTGGTTTTACTGACGTAGAAACAGATCCTCCTCTCCCTGACTTTTTTACTTTTTTTGATAGCTTTTAATGAAGGACATGGAGACTCATGTACTTCAGATTTGGAAAATTTTTCTTGCATTAATTCTTTGATAATTTCCTCACTTCTAGTCTATCTCCATTCTTCCTTCTGAAATATTATTTCAGTGTTGTACCTCCTAACTTGATCCTATAATTTCTTTATCTTTTATCTCATTTTCTTTTTGTCTTTGTTTTCCTTTTCTTGAGAGAGTTCTTCACATTATTTTCGCAATCTTCTGCTTAAATTTTTACTTTTGCTATTCTAAAAATTTTCTAAGTTCTCCTTATATAGTTTCAACAGGAAGCTAGGTCATGGATATAATCTTTTATTTCTCTAAAGAGATCAATTATAATTTTTTAGGAGGAGTTCATTTGCTTCTTTCACGGTCTCTATTCCTCTGAGTTCCTTTTGTTCTGTTTGGTTTGTTATCTCGTCCTTAGTGTGACAGGTTTTCTCAAACGTCCAATAATACTAGGCTATCTATTTATATTTAAGATGAGATATCTAAGAGCTGATTAGAAGTTCCATGGGTGGTAATTATTGAGAAGTAGCTTTACATAAGGTAATCAGGAAGAGATTTATTGTGTAGGGTTTTTTCTCTTGAGGCTAAGGCGTCCCTTCTCTTTGTCAAGCGCAGTTGGAGGAGGAGGATGGCACACTATTTACTATGTGTATTTTCACTTAATCACTGATGAGATGAGCCCTTTTGCCTCCACCAACTGTGGCTGATTCCAAGGTCTCTCTTGGTCCACTTCTCCAGGGAGAAGACTTCTAGGTTATGGTCAGGATGTAGGAAAGGATCTAAAGATCCAACTGCTTCTCTTTCAAACTTTCAACCAACCCCCATTTCCCTCTCCCTCACCCCTGCCTTCAGAGGCATCTGGGAAATCTCTGCTATAGATAGTTTTTAGCTTTCTCTGACATCTAAGTCAATTGTAAGTTTGGCTAACTGCTTCCAGCTTCCAAACCCCTCTCTCTGCTGGCTCCTGTCCTCTTTGTCTCTGTGGGTTTGTGCCACTTTTAGTTTTTTTAATCTCTTCTGCCTAATTAATGGAGTTTTGGGAACAGTAGCAAATGTATATGTTTAATCCATCTACATGTCTTACTTGAACTCTATAATTTGTCTTTTTCACTTATTAATAGATCATGGAGGCCAAGAGAAATTCCAAAGGCTGGCTTGGTAGTGTTAGCCATCCTCCATGCCCCCTATTCTTTGATATGCACAATTGATGAATTCTTAATACATGGCTCTTCTAAGGAAACTTTAACTCATGTCCCACCCCAAGAGACGGCTACCTCTAACTCCCTCTAAGGAAATTTTGAACTTCTGCTGTTGGAAATTTTTATATCTCAGAAATATAGATCAATTCAATCTTGAAAGGGCTGTACTATAATAAATTAACCAGTTCTTCCATCAATGGACATTTAGATTATTTTCAAGAATTGCTATTACAAACAACATGGCAATGAACATCCTTTACAATCATCTAGGATTACATTTCATGGTATATTTGTGGGCTAAATTATTAGAGGTAGAATTGTTGGGTCAGATAGTCTATGTATTTTAAGTTTCTTGCTGATTTTAACACTTTCCACTCTAACTTCACACAGATGATTATAATTGAAGAAATGCACTGGAAATCTGGCTGAAGAACAACCACACAAAACCTCACAATTTACAACCTCAGTGCTACTTAAGTGTTAAAACGAGGAGCAGGCTGCATTCTTATCAGCAAATGGGGATGTTTTTGACAATTTCCTCTTCTCAGTGTGTACCCTAAGAGCTCGATATGCTTCACACATTATTACTATTGTCATATTTACTGGGCTATCATCATCATTCTTGCCAGAAAGGAAATTGCATTGTCCAACTTTCCTTTACAATGAATGATAAGGCACTAGAGCCTCAGGGAACTGAGTGAGATTTAAAAATGTTCATCTGTAGTTTTTAATCTTCTATGGAATTTTATGCCCCTGAATGGGCCCAAATTTATAGCATTTTCATGACAGTTCACATTGTATCAAATTTCCTCTTCTAATGGTCACATTTGACGTGATTAGTGATGCTTATATTGTTACACAGGGCTCCAGGGCATTTATAAAGAGCATAATCCTGAAACACAGCTTTATTTGTTGGGTACAATCTTTTCAGGTTGTGAAATCAAGGACGGATGAGGAAAATTAGTTTTGGAATAACTGAATTTCTAATGAATAAGAAATAAAGTAAATTTCCAAGGGAGATACTGTAAGATGCCTAAATGTAAAGTAATCAAATTACATTATATGAAAAAAAAATACAACTGCATAACATTTTCTGTCATTCACATGACCATGGGGGTGGGGTGAGAGCTGGGTATTGGCCCCAGCACACAGCTCAGTAGGATGCATAACCAGGAGCTTGCCCTGACATCAGACTCTCCTTTGGCGATTCATCATGAATCAGTATTAGATGTTAATGAAAATAGGGCATTTATAGAGAATACGATGGGTCCTGTCTGTCTAAGGGAATGCTTGATGGCATTCTTCTTTGCCTACTAGGCATTTTTTTAAGTTATGAAAATAATAAAATATGTATTTTTTTATTTGTTGCAGGCTAATTGGTTAATGCACAATGTTCCTTTAGCAGTAACGAATCATCTCATTCTTCCTAGATATGAGTGGGGTAGTGTCCAGAGACCAACAGGACCTTGAGTTGGATGGAGCAGCAGGAGCCTCTTTTAAGAATATATGCCAGGGGCTGGCTTGGTGGCATAGTGGTTAAGTTTGCAAGCTCTGCTTCGGCAGTCCAGGGTTCGTGGGTTCGGATCCCTGGCGCGGACCTACACACCACTCATCAAGCCATGCTGTGGCGGTGTCCCACATACTAAATAGAGGAAGATTGGCAAAGATGTTAGATCAGGGCCAATCTTCCTCACCAAAAAACCCCAAAATTAAAAAAGAAAAAGAATATATGCCAGCATTCAAATTGATCATGGCTATGCACGTACAACTATACAGCTATGAACAATGAGAATTACTAAGAATACAGTAACCTAAAAATATCTGGGGGCATTATGTTTGGCAAAATACTGCATGGGCCTGTGTTATAATTATAACCATAAAAATATACTTACACAAGAACAAGTTACTTTTAGAAAGTATTAATAGTTGAGGGGTTAGTGTATCAGATCCTCTGGGCTCCCCCCATCTCCCAGCTGTTTGCCTTTGATCTGCCCCAGCTAAGGTGGTAACCAACTTGATGGAAGCACAACACATTGGCCTGCACCTCATGTCCATGTTGTGTGCCTCTCATCTCCTGACTCTGGGCTTTCTGGTTGCCAAGAGATGTGAGACACGTGGACCTGCTCAATGCCCCCACATGAATAACCCAAGGCAATGGGGGACACTAGCCATCTAAGGGTTACCCAGTCCTGGGAGACAGGAGCCAGTAATCTCCTCTCTTCCTGCCCCTGGACAAACTGCCTTAAGAGGCAGTTCATACAGCTTTTATAAGGCCTTCTTTTGAGAGCGAGCAACCAGTTGCTTCTGACACCAAGCATGTTCCATTAGGAAAAGTGGTCAACCTGGTAATGCACCTCACATTTGATTCCCCTCCTTCCCTGCCTCCTCCTCCTTTTCTATCACTCCTGCTTCCCTGGCATTGTATTTCCTAATAAAGTGTTTTATTTTGCCTCAAGACTCTAATTTCTAGAGAATGCAGATAAGACAAGTCAGAGTAATGGCAGAATCTGTCTATGGGAGAATTTTCTTTATATTCAGTATCACTGATACAGTGTTATTTATGCAATAAATAAACTTTGTGAGAATAATAAATCTTTCCCTCATTTACAGTTTAATTATTTTGTTTGTCTCTCCATCAAATAGGCTGGCCATCTGGCAAACTGATCTGCAGGTTGACAAGAGACCTGAAACTCACTAAATCAGGCTAAGCTCCAAGCTTCAGGGCAGAGGTGACCCCTATTTGCTCTAGGAAAGGCCAGAGGATCTGAGATGTTGGGGCCAAAAGGGCCTCTCCTTGGGCTTTGTGCCTCTGGGATAATTTTGGTGTTTGATCTTTTCTCTTTTGAAAGTATTTGATCTTTTCTCTTCTGAACTCAAGACAGTAAATATTGACTATCATGTCAGCTACAGGTCAACTTTTTGCAGACTTAGAGATATTTGATGGCAGAAGAGTCCTAGAACTAAAATATATGGAAACACCCTAAATCAATGGATACCCTGAACACTCACAATGAATATATATTACTTTTGAAATCAAAAGAAAATAAATGCTATTTTTTTTAAAGACAAATAAATTGAAGAGAACATAACTGACTCTTACCGGGTCCCAGTTCCCAGTGGCCCAGTGACAACAAGGATGCCCATTGCAGGGCATGGTGGGCGTGGGCCTTTTTGTCCAGTCACAGAGGCCTCTCGGACAAGTCACTCCTCTCTCCTGAACTCCACCTCCACAGGACCTGGAACACTGATATACAACAGGGACAGGGCTAGGTAAAAATCACATGGTGACATTTTCAGTGATAAGGGAAGAACTTTGTACTATCATTTTTGTTGTGTACAATGTTATTAAGTATATTAGTATCTGTACTGGAATCTGCAGCATCTGTGCTAGGTTCCTTAGAATGACCACTCAGTCATGTCAAACAACAGTGGTGAAATACGAATTAAAGAGTAGGAAGGAGGCTGATAAAGGAAATTCTGAGGCTAAGAGGAAGACAAAAATCAGAAGACGCTTAATAGTTCAATGTCAAACTATGTCAAAATGAGGGAATTTTGGTTAAAAACCTAAACGAGTCTTCATTCCAAAATGGAATTAAGTTATCTGCGTTTTGCCTTCTGGCATGAGCATGTAGAAACCAAATGTAAAATGTAAATGTTTTCATTATGATTAGTGCTGATAGCCTAAATGGGGAGCACACATTTGCAACACAATTTTGTTCATCTCCTATTAACATGGGATTCAGTCTTCCTTTCCCACTACATAAAGCTTCAGAATTAAATCTATCCACATTCGGAATAGTGAGATTGACAGGTTTGCTAGGGTTCTGATGCACTCACTGGCTGTAATGCGCATAACATAAATTCGAGGTGACAAGTTGGATTCCTGAAGGGATACAATTCTAAAACGTGTCAGGTTTTTGCTCACTAGAATAATTTTATAAGATATATTACCTCATTATCTTGAGGTTTCTAGAAGGAAATTAAATAATTCACCGAGAATCTTTGAAATGTACTCTGAATAATCTTGGTACTCTGAAAAACCTTAATTACGGCATGGTAACAACAACAACAAAACAATTATGGTTGCCAACATCATGCCCACCACATCAGGCACTATGTGTGTGGTGGTAACCACAGAAAACAATATATACAATTTTTAAATAATTGTTATCTACAATTAATCCTTTCTGCTCAACAAAAGAACCAATCTATTGCTTTCAGGATATTCCAACTTTGAGAGTCAACATGGACTTTTTCCCACTTATTTACTCTGTTTTTAACTCTGTATGAGGCGAGAGGAGAGAAATCCCACATTAGGGATCCTTGTGTATACCTACATGTGCGCATAGAGATTCAGGGCCACCTGGCAGGGCAATCTCCAGGAAAAGGGGGTGAAGAAGGTACAAACCAGTAGTTCTTAAAGTGTGGTCCCCAGTCCAGCAACTTCAGCATCTTCTGGGTATTTGTTAGGAATACAAAATTTCAGGCCCCATCCCAGACCTCTGAATTGGACACTCTGGGGGTGGAGTCCTGATATCTGTGTGTTGACAAACCCTCCAGGTGATTCTGAAGCATGCTAAAGTTTGAGAACCAGTGGTGCAGACATTCCCATAGCTGAACTGCACCTTCTATGCAAGTTGTCTGGGCTAGCTGACATTCACTGAAGGGGCCCAGAATATTCCCATGACGGCAGTCCATGAGGAAGTGTGTAGATACAGCAGCATCATGACGGCTCAGGGAAAGCACCTACAGGTTGAGCCACCCCCACCCAGTGCTGGGCCACTGAACGGAGGCCAGGCATTGGCATGATGCACACGTGGTCTCCTCTGACTTCTAGACTCACACGGTAACACGGAGACACATCTCCCTGGTTGCGTGGAGGGGGTCTCTAGGGGCTGTACCTGGCTCCAGGGCTCCACCTGCCACTCCTCACAGGGCTCTGTGTTACAGCTCATGCTCAGCGGGGGAGGAACGCCGGCCAGGAACTGGCAGTGAAACGGCCTCAGGCTCCGGTGGTCCCGGCTGTCCACACACTGGATCTCCCGGATCTGGAAGCCCCCGCTGCAGTTTCTGGAGCACTGTATGGAGAGCAAGAGAAAAAGGGATACCTTCGTCCCTGGTGTCAAGCTTTCAATCTCCTGATTCCCCGGGGTTTCACAAAGCACCGTGAAATCCCAGGCTTCCAGTCATGAAGAGGGGTTAGGTCTAGTTCAAGTGAACTGTGTTCCCTCACACACTGTAGAGAGGGAGTCACTCAGCGGCTCCGGGAGACGAGGCTCCCAGAGTCAGAAAAAGCAGGTGTCCAAGTGTGAGGGTTTGATGTTGGCAGAACTGAGAGAGAAGTCCAGTTCTGTCACTCACTCATCGTGAGCCCTTGGGCAAAGCTGCAGAAAACTCTGAGCCTCAGGTGTCACGTCTGTAAACTGGGATAATAAATGTGGCCTCACAGGGCTGTCATGAAGATTATAGACTAGGGCTGGGGTGACGCTGGCACAGTGTCCGTCTCAGTGGGTGGCCGTTCCCTCTGGTGCCTGTATTCTTTGCAGGCAAACAGGACTGCCCATGGGGGGACCTCTCTGTCAAGCCACACCCATCTATCCCTCAGAATCCTGCTAAAAACTTGTTCTCTCCATGGCTCTGAAAGCAAGACAAGTTACCCTTTTCCAAGGCAAGGGCCTATATGAGGGAAATAAACTGAATAACTACTCAGTGGCTTGACTCATGGAGTGAGCAAACCCTGTCCTCCTCCCCACCACCATCCTTCCTCCTACACCTGCCATTGCCTGCCCCCATCACTGCGAGTTTTCTCAGCACACGCCCACTGCAAGCCATTACAGGGGTCCTGTCACTGCCCCTCTTCCCACGTGCCCACACCTCGTGTAGCTGCCCCTGCATCCTGCTCTGTCTCAGGGAAGGGCACAGTTCACCTGTAGGTTGCTGACTTCCTTAAGATCACAATAAATATGGATGAGCATGGGTCACCTAAAACCAGAGTTTATGCAGTCTATTCTGGAGTACTTCTTTTGTTTACTCTCTGAGCCCTTGGGTTTTGGAAGTTACTCTATCTGCCACCTTATTAGTTTTTATGTGATCATAACTTGAGCTTTCAAGACTTGGTCTCCAGTCTCCAGTCTGTACACCTTCAGCTTGTCATGCCTCTGCATCCTAGTCTTTCATGGCCAGTCCTATTCTGCCCTGAACTGTCTTGCCACTGCCCACACTCAGGTCGGGACCTAAGGTAGGTGGGATGGAGGCTAACCCCTGTGCTCCTTAGCCTTTCTCCTCCAGATTATCCCTGGGTTAACAATATGTCCTTGTGGTTCTTATGTCCTGAATGTTCCTCCGTCCACCCTTCCTACTGCCCACTACTGCTCTTCCTTTAGACCTCAGCTTAAATGTCACCTCCTCAGAGAGGCCTTCCTGGATTGCCTTATCCCAAGGAAGCTCCCTCTCTTGTTACTTATCTCAGCTCCTTCTCTGTTTCCATTTGAAATGTAGAACAACATTTATTTATTCTGTCCATCCTTTCTATTAGACTGTCACTGCCATGAAGTTGGAACCCTATCTGCCCTGATCACTACTGTGTCCCGAGTACCTAGCATGATGCCAGGCACAACATAGATGCTCCATACAGACTTGTCGAATGAATATATACATTTTGAGAAAAGGGCAACCAGAGTGCTCCCAGTGGGCTAAAGAGATCTGTGGTCACCATGGTGATGAAGAGCATCTTTCTTTACCCTCTCAATGCTTCCATCAATTATCTCTTTAGCAGTCTTGGTTGAGAAAATGCACCACTTAGGAAGTGTGCCCGTTGCTGTTAGGTATGTTTTTGTCTGGCCTCCCCTCTATATCATAAAATATCATGCTTTCCTTCTGGCTATGGTGGAATGGTTATAATTATAGGGTTGTAGGCTGTGAAAGAAAATTCCTCAAAACCTTTCAGTAGAGGTACATCCCAAAATACCCATTCCCTCTTCTTCTGACACCTGGCAGATTGCACCAAGTCATCTGACTTCAAACCTTGGACTGTAACATAGGAGGATGTGGGCTCATGCGACAAAGGGGGAGATTGATGCTTGAATGCTTCCATAAATCAAGTGTGTTTAGCTTCTCAGAAATAAGCAACACTTGCCAGACAGCACCCCAAAAACAAATTAATAACTTCATTTTCCTGCCACTCAGTAAGTACACAGAGAGAAAAGTAACTGCCAATATAAAATTAACCACAGAACAAATGAGAAACCATGCTAATAATTTTCACACAAAGCAGCCATTTGTCTGACAAAACAGATTTCCAGGAAATGGCACATGGTTAACACAAGAGGGCTCTTTATTAGGAAATGGGAATTTTGCAAGACGTGAGTGCAAATGGGATTTTATTTTCTTATTTTCCATTTGTTGCTACAATCTTAGACTTAATTTTCAAATTAGCATAACCCTTTTGTCAAAGAGCATATGAAGTTTATTAATACGTGGAAGTAAATAATGAGGGAAGATACTCACGATCTACGACTTTTCTACTCCATTTTCAAAAGGGCCTCTGATTCAGTTAGCAAGAGGGAAGTGGCAGGATATTAAATCACTCCACTCCTAATGCTGTTTTGCCTTTCTGTGCTGAATGCCAATTATTTTCATTTTCTTATTGCCCTGTAGGAGGGTCATTTGTATACATGTTTTCTTCTTTTTTTTTTTTTTTGTGAGGAAGATCGGCCCTGAGCTAACACCTGCCAATCCTCCTCTTTTTTTGCTGAGGAAGACTGGCCCTGGGCTAACATCCATGCCCATCTTCCTCCACTTTATATGGGATGCCAGCACCGCATGGCTTGACAAGTGATGTGTCGGTTCGTGCCCAGGATCCGAACTGGCGAACCCCGGGCCGCCGCAGCGGAGCGCGCACACATAACTGCTTGCGCCACTGGGTCGGCCCCTGTATACATGTTTTCTTAATCTGGAGCCTGTGGACCAGACTGAGGACATGAGCCAGGGTAATGAGAATAGAAAGATGGCTAATGCCCTAATGCGATCAAATAGGCCCAACAGTTTCCCAGTTACGGCATCAGTCTAACTGCTGTGACCTGCGAACCAGACTGAGTTACAATGAAAAATACCCTTATCTACAGAAGCCACTGGCAAAGATAAAACGAAATCATAACTGTTTCTTCCTTGGGCTATTTTTGATTTATGAAGTCATCCTGATAACGCTTTCCATGTTGGACACATACACAGTGTTGAGATGACTATAGTGAAAGTAACAAACATAGGATGAGGAGGTCAATAGACTGCATTCAAGTATGACCCTGACACCAAGTGGCTACATGACTGTGGATTAATCACTTCACTTCTCTAAGCCTCCGTTTTTCCATTGGTATTAAAAGGAGAATAAACTAGACGATAAAACTAACCCAACATTCTGGAGTGTTGTAAGTTATGAGATCACTGGATTTGTATTCTATTTTGATTTCAGAATACATTCTTGCTCTCCAAGTTGCACAACAAATACGAAACCAGGATACAGAAAGAATTGCTTCTGCTCCTTTCCATGCGCTAAACAGGTTAATAAGACCCTTAAGATCAAATAATTCATTCCAAACATTCTAAGTTGAACAGCACCACATTACATCCGCCCATCTGTCCCCCCCACTGCACTCCCACTTCCCTCCTTCCTAGTTATTGACCACTGACTATGTTCCAGGCTCTTATCCCAATCTAGCAGGGGGAGAAGCCGCAGAAATGGAGACGATATGTCGTAAGTCACTCATGATCTAGTGAGCACACAAAGGAGGAGGTGATCAATGTCACCTGAAGAAGCCAGGAAAGGCTTGAATACAGGAGCTAAAGCTTGAGCTGAATCATGTCACATGAGTAGATGCTCTCTTGGCTGGCAAAATAGGGTGGGGGACATTCAAGGTGGAGAAAGTGGCATATACAGAGGCACAGTGCTGTGAGACAACAAGGCTTGTCTGGGAACATCAAGTGGATCAGCATGCTAGAGCAGAGGGTAGGTGTGGACAAAGAGATGGGCAGGGGCCATCATGGAGGGCCTCGTGCTCTGGATATCAGTCCTCAACTAAAATGGTCTTGGGTTCATGCTTTCTGTGGTCCTAAAGGCTTCCATTTAATTGCCATTCCTCTAACCATTTCTTCTTAGGGATCCTTTAATCTAAAACACTTGGGGTGTCAAGAGAGGTGACAGATTAGACACACAACAAATTATATCAAGAGTAAAACAGATGCAGTAATTTTGAGTGTATTATCTACCTTCCTGTCAATCAATTTTTGCTTTCTGGGGACAGAAGCTCCCCTATAACATGCAATTCTATGTTTTGACTTTTGCACATTGGACTTTAACATATGTTTCTGGGGAGAAGTTATGTATGAAAGTCAGGGACTGTGTATTTAGCAAGTCAGGGGCTCTTTCCCTATTTAACTCATCTGTGAAAAATCTGAAAAATGTAGCACTGCCACAGACAATCTGTAAAATCCAATGAACATGGAGACAAGAAGTAGAATAAGACAGAAAGACTAGCACTATATGCAAATATATTAGCAAATATACGAAACCCAAGGCCATAAGTAAAGGCTTCTACTTTCTCTTATTTTCTAGCACAGCTACAGGTAATAAAGTCAACTACTGTTAAAATAAAATTGCAACATTGCCTAGATGGGAAGACAGATCGTTCCCAGAAAAAAATGTAAAAATATTTCTGATTCACTTCAGTAATAATCAAGATCTGTTAGACTTAACTATGAAAAGGGTGGTGCTCATTCTAAGAAAGGGAATAAAGGAGTTGTCAAATCACCAGTTTACAAAACTTCAGAAGGTACAGGCAAAATATTCAATCAGGAACTGCAGAGCTGTGGATGACGCATAGCTTTGGTGTCAAACCCAATTAAGGGGTTTTCAAGCTCATCTTTGTTCTTTACCGCATTTCTGTCAACACAAACATCACTTTTCTTCCCATACAAATTTTAATGTTCTGAAACTGGCATGTGTCTTACAACTGATGTACATATTTATTGTGTAGTGTTTCCTTTCTTTCTAAAAAGCTGTAATTAAATTGATGACCCATCCCTGAGTTGACGGCTTCTTAGAACTGAGAGTCTTCAGTGCTAGCTGCATGATCACGTGTTAGTTAGTGATTTAAACATTCCAAACCTTCGTTTCCTCAGTGAGAATTCTAAAGAAGATCCCGTATTGGAAGACAATGAAATCACTTATCTAAAGCTCTTGTGCAATGTCTGGCAAGTGGTAGTATTTGGTGAATTCCAGGGCCCAAGGTTGGGCAGAGTCCTCCAAAGTTCACGGACACTTTGAGCAACTTGTCTGCTTAGCACTGAGGAGTGGAGACCTGCTCAAGCCAGTCACTCTGTTGACAGGACTTACTCCACTGTCACGTGTCCACCGGCCTCCTGCCCCAAGCCCAGGAAGTGAGAGGTTAGTAAATGCCTAAGAGCCAGTCCTAACCTTTACCTAGAGTTCAAAGTTTGCCTAGGGCTTCGTTTGAACAGTCTTTTACCATTTACAAAGTTGTTTCACACACATTCTCTCTTTTGATCCTTATAACAACTCTATAAGGTAAGTAGAGGCAACATTATCCACTTCAGTTCTCAGAGGTAAGGACGCTAAAGATCCTAAGAGGTTAGATGAACGGACCAGCGTCATGTGTTGGTCAGTGACAGAGTGGTGGCCTACCCAGATGTGTCTGATCCCAAGCCGGGTGCTGCTTCTAGGGTTCAAGTATGCCTCAGGGACGAACTTGAGGACTGCAAACTTGAATTTGTTTCAGACAGATTAATACATGAAAAGAAAGCAAACCAATCTGGAAAATTACTTCTAGACATTGTAAAGGTAGAGATCTGAATGTAGAGTCTCATTCTACTGTCACATACATGAGAATATGTCCAGAGCAGTTGTACCTGGCTTCATCAAGGAGACGAGTGGTGTTAGAGACATAAGGCACCAGAACAATTGCAATTCAGACAGTGGTGGGATTACTGGTGAGTAACCAGGAGGCCTCGGGTGTGATGCCTGTGGGTTCAGGTGACGCTGCAGCATACCCCGTAGTCCTATAAGAATTAAAGTTTCTCTGGATCTGAGGTAGAGATCGGTGAGACAGTGCAGAAGATTCGAGGTAAAACTAGAATTCTTCCCTCTGAGAAAGTATCCGTGAAAACGCGAACTTGTCAACTTGGCAGAATCTAAACCCTCAGGCAAAACTAGGGGTCTACTTTCCTTCTCTAGGTTTTGGAAGTTTGCCCCTGAGTGAGCTTAAGAGTTCTGATAGAATAGTGAAACTAGGAAGGCCCTCAAATCTCTCCTAGTGCATGATTGGGACTTCAGACATCCATAAGAACTGGTTAATGATGTGGTAGTCAGAAAGGAGTCTCACTTAATCATCAAAATTTAAGATAAAATCTAAATCAACATCCCTAGGAAAAATGGAAGTCATGTATGCTATATCCATAATAACAGTCAGAAAAAATAAAAGTCAGGGCAACTGACTATCAGTAGTTAAATAGTGTCTTTGATGTAAGGTTTATCTATTACCCTGAGAGAAGAGACATTTTCTTTACTGATAGGAATGGAGCAACTTTGAGGATTAGATGGTAGATGTGGTGGTTACCACATTCTGGCAGAACTTGATGGTATGTCAGAGACAGCTTCTACGAAACCACCAGGAGCGCCACTGGGGTTTTCTGTAACGCTCCTGGCCATGAAAGAGAGGAGACCCAGAGACAGACAGGGAAGATGCTCAGGCAGAGCAGGGCTTTCCTTAGGAGGTCTGATCCCAGAGAATAGCATCCTGATCTCTCATTCAGGGTTTTATACCAGCTAAAATTCCTAGAATTTTACACTGGAGTGACCTTTTCAAAAGTCTGAGCGATTTCACGCTTCTATCCTTTTTATGAGCCATGTAATTGCCAAAGAAAGGATTAGTCCCAGGGATAGGAAAGTGGAACTTGAGGACTTGGTCAACATTCGGCAAGGTCAGGGATAGTAGATGTTTCTTGAGATTTTTCTGGATATGGAAGAGAATTTGTAGCCAAACATTTAGTCTTTGTTGGATCCTGAGTTTGTTATGAATTGGAAGAGACAGAAAAAAGAACTAGCATTCATTCCCGAAAGAAAAATGGTATGAGAACAGAGAAGGGAGGTTGGCAGATGTCAAAGGAATGTATAGTAATTTTCTCAGGGAGTGGCCCTACTTCCTCCCTCTTCCCAAAGGTCAGAGCCTTACTTTGGGAAAAGGGCCTAAAGCAGAAAAGTGACATTTCACACTCTTGTCTGCCAGGAGAACCAGAGATGTCCAATGAGACACCTCACGGTCCTGCTTATCTAGGGACACGACCCCTCCACTAGCTGAGGGTGCTAATGTCTAGTGGGGACACCAGCCTCCCCAAACTTCTGGGTAGCTCTTTCTTTTCCCTTCTGTGTCAAGGCTGTCATGGGAAATGGGCTCCCCAGAGAGAAGACAGGGGCCTACAGGGCATCCTAGAGTTGAGTGTACTCGACCAACAGAAGGTGTGTGCACAGTCCATACCACTGCATCCCCTCCTGCAAAGTGGCTCTCAACCCCACTGCTGACCAGTGTCTTACAGCTGGGTGTATCCTCCAGGGGCTGCCTCAGCCCCACCCAGGGTGACGGGCAGATTGGCCCTGGTTAGTGCCCAAAAGCACCAAGGCTAACTAATCTGAAAACCTGAGACAGCCTTTCACAAGCGACTATGCAGACAGCACAGCAAAGTGAGTCAGATTAACCACCCCCAGATTAGCAAAGGCAGTAAAATCGCACTTTAAAAAGATCAGCACTGGAAATATATTTTTAAAGACCAAATTTTTTTATGTCTCAGCTTTCTTTTCATTTTGAATCTGGCAGCTTAAATGGTATACTTGCTTTGTGAACAGCTGCTGAATCATGATTTAATTATACATGTGATAATGTAGGATTATTAATTATAATGCTAAATTTAAGTAATTTAGAAATAGTGTTGCATGCTGGACAAGCAATTAATTACACAAAGTTAACTCTTTTTTCCAATTTACCTGGTAAGGGAAAGGACAGGCAGATAAAAACACTTTTGCTCTAGGACCATTGTGTAACTTGAAGTAGGCCGGTGGTAACACCTAGGATTTACTCATCCATGATTTTATCAAAGAAAAGAGGCAGAAAGGAGGCAGGAAGGTAGAAAGGCAGGAGAGAAACCTGCTTAGCAAATGCTTATATAAGATTCTGCCCCCCACCCCCAGCCCCTCAGAACACTGCTGAGCCTGATAACGTACCTTACTCCAATTTCCTACTCTCCAGCCGGCACACGGACGGAGGTGGCATCTCTTAGCAGGGTCAGGCCTCTGAATGGCCGCACAGTCCGAGTCCAGCTGGGTGCTGCACTCCACACGCCGCCAGTAGGCCCCCAGCCCACAGGTGGTGGAGCACTGCAGGATGAGGGAGGAGAGAAGACGGAGGCTGAGGCCACTTTCTCAGACACACCCCACGAGCCCCTGGAGTCAGGGGTTCTCATTCTCAGCTGCTCACTAAAATTGCCCACAGAGCTTTTAAAAAATTCCAGCCCTGGGGCCCCCACCCCAGGCTAATCTGAATCTCTGCGGGTAGAGCCCCAGTATCAGCATTGAAAAAAAATTCTCCAAGTGATTCTAATAAACAGGCAGGGTTGAGAATCCCTGATTTATATGTGAGAGGAAAACCCAATGCAAATAGAAATTTGCCTCCCTTTAAAAACTGCCCTGGCATGAATGCCTATGGGGACTGCAGGCAAACTACTGCATCTCATACCATGCTGTTCAGAGTGGATGTTAGATCCACGCCTTGGTCTCTTACCTCATATCCGTATAACACCGCAATGACATTATCTCACTTACTCCTCTCCGTGAGAAACCTATGGTGTCGACTGGTATTGTTACAGTGTAGATAAAGAAATTGAGGTTTGGAGAGCTGGCTTGCCCAAAGAATAAGACTAGAATTTTCTGCCTCCAAAATGCAGCATGATATTTGTTATAGCAGGACTTCTCAAACTTGAGTGTCCATATGGATCACCTGGACACCTTGCTAAATGCAGATTCTGACTCAGTAGGTCTGGGGTAGTGGTGGAGATTCTGAATTTCTAACAAGCTCCCAGGCGATGCCGACGCTGTTGGTCTCAGACCACACTTGGAGTTAGAAGGATGTTACAACAGGATGCTTTTCACCACTTGACCCACTGGTGGTGAATAAATCAGTCACCTTTGCCACCCTTGCCCATTCCTCACAAGATAATTATATTTATCTATAATTCTTAAATATCTCAGGTTTAGCATGGAGTCACCTTGAAAACTACACAGACTTTCCCTTCATAATTTCTTCCATTCTACGTGCCTGATTCTTTTATCAGTTGATTTTCCTTGCATCCCCTCTCATGTAAAATACAGCTCTAGCTAGTAACAAAAGGATGGAAGTTCCATCTATGACATTTTTGCAAGTTTCTTTTCATGAGTTACAAATAAAAACTAGCCTTACATTTCTCTTGCTGCATTTTCACCCTCCATATAATTTCATGTTTCACTTTGTGTAAGTTCTTGTGTTATAACACAAATATAATAGAGTTCTTAGGTAAATAAATTTACTATAGAATCATACAAAAGAAGAGTATAAAATAGTCTAGGTCATCATTTTTTTCCATCATTTATAGAGGTAAACTCTCCTCCTCCTTAAAGGTCTTTAGGATTTTATTTGTATCTCTCAGAAGTTCCTAGCATCTTCTCCTCTGTACTACATTATGTATATATATATAATACAGATAATAACAGCTGAAATGCATCAACCACTGTCATGGGTTGATGGCACTAGTGGCCCCATTGTTCACACCCATGATCTTTGTAATGGGGCCTTGTAGCTCCTCTCATGACGTGGTGGAATATATTTTCCCAGCCCTTGAATCAGGACAGTTCTTGCAACTTTCTTTGGCCAATAAAATGCAGCGGATAATGTTGTGCCAGTTCTCAAGAGGTCTTGGTTGTTTCAATTCTCTCTCTTGGATCCCATGAGAATAAAACTCGCTGAGAATAAAACTGAGCTAGCCTACTGGAAGATGAGCGATCATGTGAAACAGAGCCAGGTGACCCAGGCAAGGCCATTGCAGACCAACCAGCCTTTAGCCGACCCTCCAGCAGATGCATGACAAGCCAAGCTGAGATCAGCTAAACTCAGTTCAGGTCAGCAGAACCTCTCAGCAAAGCCATAAACTCATGGACAAAAATAAATGTTTACTGAGGTTTTGTGGTTGTCTGTTATATAGCATTATTGTGGCAGTAGACAACTGATACAACCACGTAATATACCTTTCCTATATTTGCTCTAACCTTCTGAGACTCAGGGTACAATTATAGTTCTGCAGTTGGCTAACTGTCTGTTCTTTCATAGTTTCCTAACTTCCCTGGCCTGTAAAATTGGTGATAACACCAGGACCTTCTTCACTGGGTTGTTGTGAGGACCACAGAGATAATTCACGCACGTGGTCAATGCTCTACAAATGTTACTTATTAAACCCAACACACCTGCAAGGTCAGCATTCTGAGTCCCACTTTCCAGATATCTGGGACCCGAGAGTTTAGAAGCCATGCTCGAGGCCACACAGCCAGTACATTGTTAATTTCATATTATGACATGGAGAAAAACATGACATTTGTCCAAACCCAGGAAAGGAGCTAGTGAGACCAAATTTCCAGGTTAGTGATGACCCTGGCAAATCTCAAGTGATGTCTACAGTTCTTTGTACCATGTTTATATTGCAAATAAGTGCATGTTGTCTCTGGGGCTCTGAACCTAGTCCTGCTAGATTCAGACATCATGCATAGACATTTGTTTAATTCTTTTTTGACATTTTCTATTTAGGCAGCAAACAACAGTCCCAAGGTAAAGCTGACAGGTGGCAGTCTATGGAATGCAGTAAAAGTAAAACGGGATTCCATCGATTGTCACATATTTGCCCCAAATTGGGAGTAGGGGATCAGAGAAGAAAGGAGAACCCCGAGGAAGCTGAGGACAACTTCACTATGTCCTGGAAACCTTCCTCCTTGTTACAGCTGGTGATCCTGTGGCAACCGATTTACTAGGTCAAGGAGTAGGGTTTAGGATGTTCAGAACTGGAAATGGCATGGAGGGCTACATCAGAATCAGCTGTGAAAGGCTGTGGAAAATTGTACTGTCACTTCCATTTACATGACTGCATAGCCTACACGTAACTGACTGGCCCAGGGGATCAGGCTGATGATGAGGCAAGTTGATGAGAGGTGATTTTCTGTCAAAATAAGAGCCACGCCCATGCACAATGTGTAACACCTAAGTTTTCCGGTTTATAAATAGGTATCAGAGCAAATACCTACTGAGTGCTTCCTATGTGCCTGACCCTCTTCCGAGAACCTTACACATAGTTATTCCTTCTATCTCATAACAATCTTAGGAATCAGGCATTGTCATTGTCCTCATTTTACAGATGAGGTCACCAGGGTGCAGTGAGGACTTACAGTCAGTAAGTGATTGAGCCAGAATTCAAACCCAGAGAGTCTGGTTTCAAGCTTTATGTCTATTTATAGTGTTAACTTGGTTTTCATACCAAATCTTTAATTTTTGAAGTCACAGTTAGTTAGAAGGACATGCTGGGTACAATGGGGAACATGAACAGCCCTTCAACACAGGACAGAAAGTGGGAGGACATGAGAGAGATTTCAGATCAAATGCTAAGGAACTTTAGAAACTACTTCTAATCTTAAGGATGAGGAAAGGCTTTATGGAAGTAGAAGCTCAAAGTTTGATACTGAAAAACAAGTAGGATTTAAAAAGGCAGAGGAGGAGGGGAAGGAAATTCCCGGGCAGAGGAAACAGCATACACGAAGGCATTGGACTGGGAGGGGCAGAAGGTCTAGAGGAAAGTGAGCAGTTTAGATTTGTTGAAGCTTAAAATGGATGAAGAAAAGTAGGAGGAAGGATGGTTGAAAGCCGGATTATGTAAAGTCGTGAAGGCCATGGAATGTCAGAGTGAATTTTATCTGATCTGATATGTAATGAAGAGACATTAAAGATTTGAGCACAGGAGTTTGGAATGATTAGAAAATTCCTTTTGGAAGACTAATGTGGCAGTCTTAAATCTCTTGTGATGCTGTGTGGAAAGAATTGGAGAGGCGAGAGACTGGAAGTGCACAGATGAGCAAGGAGGCAAAGGCAGGCACTCTTGGCATTTTGGACTGGACAACTCCTACTTATAAGGGATTTCCCTGAATGTCACTGGACTTTTATCATCTTTGGCTCTCAGATATTGGATACTGGTAGCAGCCCCCCCCCCCACCTTGTAAAAAACAAAAGCATCCCCACTCTTTTCCAAATGCCTCTTACCATTAGATTGGAAACCACTGGTCCCTAAACTAACAGGAAATAAATAGAAGATGACAGAAATGATGAGGTGACATTGACTTAAAAACCTTTAGGGTTTTTTTAGTGGGACAGGGGCAGATTGGCATCAATGGTAATTCTGGGATTTTTAAGATGTAGTGACTTAGATGCCAGTGATGCCATTAGAGGGAGGGGCAATCCTAAAGAAATAGCTTCCAAAATGAGCAGAATAAAAAATCAGGGGACAGTGGGAAACTCAAAACCCACAGTTTTCATTCTGAGTCCTGATCTTCTCCAACAATTCTGCGTATTAAACATTTTGTCTCAAAAGACGCATAAAGGGAGGGCACCAAGCCCTGTTATGACTCCTGCCAAACATCGAATTTGTTCTTGTAATATCCTTGTAGCTTTGAAAAACTCTGCAATCTGGGCCAATTCCCTTTTTTCCAGCCAAACTGCCTGGATTTAATAGCTCTCAATGGCTCCACTACGGTTGCCAATTTTTTGGTGAGCTATGATGTATTCAATAAGACAGTTTGTTTCTGTCAAAGTCAAATGATGACATTTGAGATAGAATTAATTCTTTGTATCTTGATTTATTATAATCAAAACGTATCAATTAACCTCTGGGCTCAAACAGTCATCAAGGTTGATATGTACTTTTATTTTGGTTCAGTTTATTTGGATATAGTAATTTCTCATTAAATCAATTAATATTTCTCAATTAATTAACATGTATTAAATATCCTCAGGTCAAAAGCATTAGAACACATTTAAATTTAATAATTTCATAACTGCTTTGGGATTCGGGGATGGATGAAACAATAAGAGGATGGGAAAGGAAACTAATTTCTGGGTCATCCTAAAGCTACTTTTTAATAAAACTTCTGTATTAACTTGTGGACCGAGAAGGGCTTGTCCATCCTTATTAACAGTCCTAATGTGGTGACTCTTCTATCTGGGGACTAGGATAACGTCCTAAAGGGTCTCTTCTTTGGACTGCACTTTGGTGTCTCCTTTCATCTCAATATGGAATCTGTTCTCCCCAAAGTCACCAGAGACTTGCTAATTGTCAAATCCATTAGGTCCATTGTCAGTCCTAGACATCTGTGGCACCATATCTCTTGGTTTAACTCTTAAATATTAGACTATTCCTTACTGTCTTCCACAGGGGATCTCTTTGTTAGCCAGCTCCTTAAAATGTTGGTGTTTGCCAGAGTCCCCTTTCTGGTGCACTCCTCTTTGCAGCCTACAGGCTGTACTTGAGTGACCTCATTCACTTTCAAGGTTCTAACTTCTACTCTTTGGTCATGGCTACCAAATCTTATCTCCAATTTTCACCTCTCTCAGGAACCTCAGACCCAAACACACAAACATCTGCTGGTTATCATTTGGATATCCCAGAGATGCTACCAATTAAACGCCATCTATAACTAAACTCATCATCCCTCCTTTTTTGTCTCTACTGAGACTCACTCTTCCTATACATTGTGTGATATCTCAGTTTATAGGAGCACCACCCAACAGACACACAAGATTCCAATCAAATAGTCATGACAGACTCCTCTTCTCCTCTCTCCTCTTCACACCCCACATCTAATTATTCACAAAGCTCTACTGATTTTAAGTTCTAAATGAATCTTGAATTTATCATTTCCTTTTCATCCTGAGCATTCTTGTCATGGTTCTCAAGCCTCTTCTAGACTATTGCAATAACCTCCCAACAGGTCAAATCCCTCATCCTCACTGCTTCCAGAATGAGCTACTTACACACAGTGGACCATGTGATTCAGTGGAAAGATAGCTAGATGGTCTCTATAATCCTTTTTCCTCTTCTTTCTGGGCACACAGTTAGATTACATTATTAGATTAGATTAGATTACTAGCAGTTTGGTTTGGACATATGACTGAGTTCAAGGCAATGGAATGTGAGCAGAAGTGATATGTGCCCCTTCCAGGACTGGCCCATAAAATCTCCAACAGGAGTGCCTCTGTGCTCTGTTCTCTTTCTGACTGATTAGGATGGTGACCCCAGGGCAAATTTAATGCTAGGAGAATGGCAGAGCCATTGTTAGCCTGGATTCCCAAATGACAGCATGGATCAGAGCACCATTCGCTGTCATCACCGTTGTAGACCCAGAATTACCATGTGTCATTATGTGAGTGAGAAATCAGCTTCTGTTTTGGTGAATTATAACTTGTTTGGCTCTATTTGTTACAGCAGCCTGGCCTCTCTCTTGTGTGTGTGTGTGAGTGTGTGTGTGTGTGATTTCTAACTCTATATACATACTGTACATATGTCATGCATGCTTTGATTGTCCTGATATCAACCCTACATCTATGCCTTTTATCATCTACTCTTTCATATTCTGTTGACCTAGCTTGTATTCTTCTCAAGACCCATAGTGTCTCTAACTGTAGGTGCTTTCAGACTTCATCTCCATTGACTAATTAGCAAAATACTACAAATTAATTAGTAGTCTCAGTTTCCATAATTTGTTCTCTTTATCTTTGAGTCTGCGGAGGCCACGCACTGCCCACACTGCTTTGACAGATGGAAGACCACGAGCCTGTTTATCTGTCCTTTAGGGAAGCCCCATGTTTTTGGAAAGAAAGATATATTTTGAGGGTACTACTTGAAATGATGTCACCCAAAAAACCTAAACAGATCGATTTTATTTCAAAACATCTAGGCTGAATCCACTGTGGTGACATTATAGGTATCATTTGCCCCTGTGAAATAAAAAATAACCATGGGGACCCTCAATGTTATTTTAAAGTACATTCTTGTGAACCACGTTATTTTCTCATCCACCTAACCCAGGGTCACTACATAACTGGCATTGTTTTTATGTCATACGACCCAAGAAGAAAGAAGTAAAACAGAAGGTAGAGAGAGTGGTGATGTTTTCTGATTTGCAAAGCAATGGATCAGAGGCTACGAAGTCTGCCTGCTTGGGTTCAAATCCCCACTCCATTGCTCACGAGCGTATGGGATTCTGGCAAGCTACTTAATCCCTCTTAGCTTCAGTTTCCTCATCTCTAAAATGGGAAAATATTACCAATCTCTTTGGGCTGTAGTGAGGATTAAATGAGAGAATGCATGTTACTTCACATAAAATCATGCTATAAAGCATGGTACACGCTTTATAAATGTTCACTGTCAACATCCTCCTCGTGGTGAAGAGCCCTTTAGAACTGATTAGAAAAGAAATATGATTGAAATGTCAGGGATCATGAGACCCATTTCTCTCATTCTTTCAATGAATTAAATTACTATAAGCATGAAAATCCTTTTCCCCTGAACCTTCCCCCTGAACTCCACTACAAATGGAGATAATAAGATGCTGTTCCACTGATAGGAGATGTAATAACTCACTTTAGAATCAAACATAAATCAATGTGAAAACATAGTTCAAATGCAAACCTAAAATTTTGGAAGTTTGAATTTAGTTATTTATTGCCAGTATAGTTAATTCCATGACCAATGATGCTGATTAATTTATACAAAAGATTTGTATACAGCTAAGTTGTCAATTGGTGCTGAAATTCACTAGAGAGACCGCAGGTTCGAGTCGAAAGTGTTGGAAGGGTCATCACCCAACTGACAAGTGTGTCCTTTGAGAAGTCACTTAACGGCTAAAAATTTTATTTTCTCTATTTGTAAATTAGTATAAATGAGCCCCTACTTGCTCCCCAGGACTGCCAAAAGAAGAAAATAAGAGACTACATATGAAAGTGGTTTCGAAATCAACATGCTTTATAAATTAAATGTACTGTTATTTTTACATTAGCTGCTAATACTTCATTTCTCTTTAGCTAGGGAGATGAGTCATGAATTGTTGTAAAAATGCTGAATGATTTGAACAATTATTTTGAATGCTATTCAAATCTGAATGTGATTATTTTGCTACAAAGTACTCTTTTAAGTTGTCAACTTATTTTAACAAGTTCATATACTGTGCATTGGAAATTAAAATGGATAAGAAATGATTCTGATGCTTCAAAAGATGTAATTAGTTCTAGAAATGGAAAAACAAATATCTAGCCAAATTTCTGAAGCCTGAAAGTAGGGGCCAATATTTTGTCATCAGGTTTATTTTCTTCTTTCTCTGTATTCTAATTCTTTTAATGAGACAAAATGATTTTTTAAAATACAAGCAAATACTCAAACAGACGAAAAAGAATAGGAATTGTTGATACAGTGAGCCATGGAATTCTCATAAAGAACTTTGGCTTAGATTTCCATTTCAATTGTGAGTACTTAACAGGTTTAAACTAGACTCTCAGCATTAGTTTTCTAAACAAAATATGAGCTCAGGCCCTTTCAGCTGTCCATCATACGATCATTGATTGCATTTAGAGCTGGAAGGGACATAAGAAACGATCTCCACTAGCTCTATTGTTCCGTAGATGAAAAGCAGCCTCAGAAAGATGGACTGAATGCTCCACTATCACGCAGCTGCCTGACCCAGACCACCTGACTTAGTTCTGGGTTCTTTTCACTATATCTCACTGCATTTGTTCTCCATCCCTGGAGATTTTTTTTTTTTTTTTTCATTTTTGGAGTTAAGCGAGGGAAGTGAGGGCATAGATGTGATTGCTTCATGTTTTTTCCTCATTAGACTATATATCATACAAGTCCATTTTGAGATTCGCACACACATGCAACCTCCCTTGCTATTTTTCATGGGGGGGTAAGGCATGGGGTAAGGAATGGAACGCCTACCTCACTCCAGTTTCCAACTATCCAGTATGCAGGGCTGCGGTCTGTGGAGAGCTGCTTGTAATTGGAGGCATTCAACAAAAACCCCTCAGCAATCAGACTTGTTGCATCTTCCTCGGTCAAGTCTAGTCTAGAACTTTGCGTTAGATTCATGTTGCCTGGAAGTTCTGGGGGGTTATGATTTACCGATATTTCTGAGGGTGCTAGCTGGTGGTCTCCTCCCAGAGGGAGGGGAGTATTAGCCGGCTTTTCAGTGACACTCCCCTCAGCTCTGGGTGTGCCATTTTTGAGAGTAGTGGGCCTTTGGCTAGGTAGCAGTCCTTCTGTCACTGTGCTGAGGGGTGGCCACGAGGGTGCCTCCCTGAGATAAGGTGTTGGTGGGGGTTCAAGTGGAATTTGTGTACTTATTTCCACTGAAGCATCATTTCCAGGCACTCTGATCTTGGTCCATATTACAGAGTTGTTTTCATTTTTGGTCTCAGGTGGTTGACTGTCTTCCCCTGAGCCACTGTGAATCTCCATTTCTGGCTCTTTGGTCACGGTATCGTAAAATGAAGTCATCTGCCAAGTCACGGGGTTGCTGGAAGATGACAAATCAGAACCACTCATTGTTGTGGCTAAAAGGTCTCCCTCTGAGGTAGGACGAGGGTCTGAAGTGGAATCAGTCTCTTTATTTGGTTGGATACTCAAAGATGAGGAGGTGATAATGGGATGGGATGTAGTTCCAGTGGAAACGACATAAGGGGAGTCCAGTTCAGTTTGGGTTGAACTATTCTGCCACCATTTCCCCTCCAGGTCTCCTTCTTCGGAGGCTGTGATAGGACCAGGGCTGTTGCTTGCTGGAGCACTTGTGCTCATAGACTCAGGCACTGTGGGTGTGGTCAGCATCCTGGGACTGGATGTAGTTGGAGGGATGGGCTTTAGGGGGTCTTGCTCGGATGATGGTACCTTCTTCCCATTGGTAATTGTGTCTTTGTTGGGTTTTAGAACCCTCCGGCTAGACGGGCATTGCTGGAGGCCACATAGAGCGTGGCTGTTGGGTTTCCTCGTCTTGTCACAAGGCTCATCATGGTTCTTGGCACATGTGACACTGCGAATCCGCACTCCACCACCACAGGAAACAGAACACTGGAAAAGAGAGACAGCTTTTAGTCTCATAGGAAAGATACATTGGTTCTCATGCTTAGGTTTATGACAAATCAGAACAGGCCCAAGGGAAACTGAACTGTGCAGTAAAATTGTTTTCTTCTATTTCACATTTGGTTTCTGTGCTCCTTTAGTTTCCTATGGAAATATGTGTCTCCTAGAGACCAGGTGGGGCTCAGGACAAACAATTTATTCTCTACAAAATGAAAATACAATCCATGACATAGTAAAACTGAAGTGTCCCTGAGCTTTGAATGTTGGATGGTGGATCCACAAAGGGCAATGATTTAAACAAGTCATCTAATCTTTTCTTTTTTTTTTTTGGCGCGGAAGATCAGCCCTGAGCTAACTTCCGATGCCAATCCTCCTCTTTTCGCCGAGGAAGATTGGCCCTGGGCTAACATCTGTGCCCATTTTCCTCTACTTTATGTGGGACACCGCCACAGCATGGCTTGACAAGCTGTGCGTCGGTGCGCGCCTGGGATCTGAACCTGTGAACCCCGGGCGGCTGCAGCGGAGCACAGCCGCTATGCCACCGGGCTGGCCCCGTCATCTAATCTTTTTAAGAGACAATAATATTATCTTTCCTAGGGTTGTCATGCTATTAAATTAATGTAAAATGTTTATATATTCTCTGGAATCTATTAAGCTAGTTATAATGAACCTTTCTCTTTATATTTAGAAATACCCATATAACTCACATTCTCCCCCAGGTACCACAAGCTCCATTTTCATTTGTCTGTGCCAGGTAGAATCAGATTAAAAGCTGGACAATCATTATACTCACACGTGTACATAGATCCAGGAACTTTTCTGAATTTTAAAGGTGGGTAGTCAATCAAAGGTGGGGATATGCCTTTTCCAGAGAGTTATGTGAGTCTTGTAGCATGGCACTGATATACACATGGGGGCTGTGGCCAGTCCCCTTCCCCAATGTTCCCTCTATATTTTGTAGGACATGCCAAAGCACAGAGAGCTAGATTGCCTTTGGGGGAATCCTAACAGGACAGTCCTTCCTCAGGATTCAGGGTAAAGAATATTTATTTCATCCGTCTCAGTAGCTGCAAGCCACACGTAGTTGCTACACAACAAATTCCTAGATGTTTTGAAAAATCCATACTTTTACCAAACGGCTTCATTTTTAGCTTTCCTTTCCAGTGACATTCTAAGTCATCCACCAAATAGTTGGCAACTGAACATGGACTGTCCAGCGGTTTTCACTGGCTTGTTCACATTTGTCTGTCTTGTATCCCTGACCTCAAAGCAGGTATTTTGAGGACGGGGACGGCATAATGCTTGGTGGATTCCACAGGGTCTACAGTCATTATTCTATGTGATACTCAGGACGGCCCTGTGAGATTTACAAGGCAGGGATTATTATCCCATCTTCTACAAGAAAGGAAACTGAGACTCAGGGACTTGCTTGAAAGGCTGCAAGTCAGTGGCAGAGCAAGAATTAGGTTTATTCCACCCCACCCCGCCAACAAAATCTAGTGCAACACACTGGGCAAGCAGCCCTCCACTGAATTCGCTAATTGACGAATTGACCAAATTCTTGATGTCTAAAAAGTTACTCAAAGGCAGGAACTGTTTCTTATTCGTCATTGAATTCCAAGATAGTTCTTGGGACACAGTGATCACTTAATAGATACTTATTAAGTGACTGTTTTACCTGGAAAAAAATCAGGAATGGGAAAATGCTTGTCACTGTGAGCATATGCATTTTTTAGCTTAAATTTCTTGCTTTCTCCAATTTCCTATTTCCAATTTCCTCTGTGTAGGAAAATAATATCGATGTAGAAAACTCCCCCTTTATTTTATTCCAATCAAGCCTCATCACTCACTGATATATGATAGCTCTGTGAAATCAGCACCTTTGAAAAGCAGGCGACGCTTGGGAGCAGAGGAGAATGTACAGCTGAGGGAGTGTTCAACTGCAGATTTGGGGTCAACCAATAAAGCTGTGAATTTAAGATGTCAATAAAACACTTAAATGCCCTGCTCTAATATTGAAATTCCAAGTTTGTTTTGATATAATAATACTAATCTTTGGTGAGAACAGTGCCTCATGGACCAAGAAATGTACACTCATTTCCCATTAAAATGGAGACTACCAACTAAAGGTCTCAGAGCCCACCAGTGAGAAAATGGTCTCTTCTGGCACCTTCCATGACTCACTTCACTTTGGGGCCTGGAAAGGGCAGGTTGGAGGTATTTATTTTCCTGGTTTACCACAATATTTCTGCCCTTCTTGTGTATGAAGATACTTTATGATCCCTTCAGTTGAGTCATCCTGAGTCACTCTCCACTTGTTACATTCTAATCCGAACTCCTTAGGTTTTCTTTTTTTTTTTTTGGTGAGGAAGATCGGCCCTGAGCTAACATCTGCCAATCCTCCTCTTTTTGCTGAGGAAGACTGGCCCTGGGCTAACATCCATGCCCATCTTTCTCCACTTTATATGGGACGCCACCATAGCATGGCTTGACAAGTGGTGTGTCAGTGCATGCCCGGGATCTGAACCGGCAAACCCTGGGATGCCGCAGCAGAGCGTGTGCACTTAACCACTTGCACCACCAGGCCGGCCCCTGAACTCCTTAGGTTTTCAAATCTCTGCTTTGTAAAAATGTATCAGTCCAACCAAATAATCCTTTGTATATGTCTGAACACATTTCCACGCTGGTTGCCTCAGGCAGGCTGCATTTCAAGCGCTGATGCATAAACAGGCCCCAGCTAATGCCAACTACTTTCAAGCAGCAGGTCACCTCCCTTTGGGTTTTTCTTCCCAAGAAATGTCAGAGGAGGCAGCTACATAACAGGAAATTCTTTTATTCTTCTGTTCTTGCTCTTCCATTCCTTTTTTGTTTGTTGACTTGAAATGTTTCTAATGCCCATAGGGAAGTTAGACTTTACCATACAATTTTATAAGCATTTTTTTTTTTCACTGAGGAAGATTCGCCCTGAGCTAACATCTGTTGCAATCTTTCTCTACTTTATATGTGGGTTGCCACCACAGTGTGGCTGATGAGTAGTATAGGTCCACGCTAGGGATCCAAACCTGCAAACCCGGGCTGCCAAAGCGGAACGTACCAAACTTAACCACTACGCCATGGGGCCGGCCCCCTACAAGCATTTTTAAAAATCCAAAAGTATATAGGTATGTGCCCTCCATCCCCACATTGAAATGCGAAGTGAAAGAGCTATAAAACCTGTAAGAAAGAGCTTAAACTCCCTGATCTGCCATTATTAATTCTATGCATGACGCAGTGACTAAGTCTCAGCTCCCTCATCTGGAAATTGAGAGAAATTAATACCCATCTTTCAACGCTGCTGTGAGGATAACATGAGACAATAGTCTTAACACAGTACAGAAAATATAGAAGACAATGGTAATTGGAAGCTATTATTATGACTGTTGTAATAATGATGCTGATAATAATAATAGTAATGATAACAACACAGGACTGGGGTCTCTGATTTCTACTATTTTTGTGGAGCACAGAGTAACACACAGACCTGCCTTATGGGAAGCTGTGAGGTGAGCAGCTGTCTGGGTGAAGCAGTTGTAGGCACACGTGTAGAAGACAATGTGGACACCCATACATCCCCCTGGTTTATTGCTGGATTTTTTTAGATTCAGATTTCCTAGGGTTAACAGATGGATATATGATTTTTTTTTAATTTACAAATTACAAGTATTAAATAATGTTATTCACTGTGTGCATTTGCTCAATCTAAAAGCATAAAGCAGGAGTAAATAATAGCTATCTAGCTGGTTGTTTAGTTAAAATACATTAGATTTTGATCTTTTAAAAACCAGAGATTATTCTAGAACAGAAATTCCAAAGTGGCAGCCTCAGGGCTAAATTTGGTCCACTGATATATATTCTTTGGCCTGCTCAATATTAAAATAAATAGGCAAACAAACAAAACACAAAAACTGAATTAGTGGCCAACACTTAAAAATTAGCAGATTTCACATTAAAACGCCAGATGTTTAGCTTCTCTTGAAAAAGCAGACAATCTGCAATTATTGGTCCTGTTCCCAAATGGCAACTCAAAACTCATTAATGGATCCCTGGGTCTAGGTATCTCCAGCACACCTACCTTTCATCTTCATCTGCTTTCCTTACCCAGTACACACAGAATCTTCCAAATAACAGACAGATGCCATTCCTTAGCCCTGGGGAGTATTGGGCCCATGGGACAGTGTTAACTATCTACCACGTATATTGGGCCTAAAAACTAAATTGCCTTTTCTCATAGTTCCACTAGAACAAACAGTGCTGTGTTTTTTTTTTTTAATTAATTACTTTAATTTTTAAATTTTTCCACCAATGTAGTCATTTATTATTATCATTATTTTTTTATTGAGGAACATTGGTTTTTAACATGGATGGACCTTGAGGGCATTATGCTAAGGAAATAAGTCAGATGGAGAAATCAAATATCGTATGATTTCACTTATAAGAAGAAGATAAAAACAACAACAATAACAACAAACATAGACGCAGAGAATAGATTGGTGGTTACCAGAGGGTAAGGGGGGAAGAGGGCAGGCAAAAGTGGGGATAGGGCACATGTGTGCAGTGACGGATGGTAATTAGTCTTTGGGTGGTGGACATGACGTAGTCTACACAGAAAATGAAATATAATGATGAACATCTGACACTTTTTTTTGTGTGTGAGGAAGATCAGCCCTGAGCTAACATCCGTGCTAATCCTCCTCTTTTTGCTGAGGAAGACGGGCTCTGAGCTAACATCTATTGCCAATCCTCCTCCTTTTTTTCCCCAAAGCCCCAGTAGATAGTTGTACGTCATAGTTGCACATCCTTCTAGTTGCTGTATGTGGGACGCGGCCTCAGCATGGCCGGAGAAGCGGTGTGTTGGTGCGCGCCGGGGGATCCCAACCTGGGCCGCCAGTAGTGGAGCGCGCGCACTTAACCGCTAAGCCACGGGGCCGGCCCCTGACATTTATATAATG